AACCTTAATGATTCTATGATTCTAAGAACTGCAGTCTTACCACATTGAAATATTATTCCCCCCATTAAACAAATCTGTTGTCTTGAATCCTCTCTCCACAGCCCAATATTTCTTACTGTTAGTAGTATGTTAAATAATCTTCACATACCAGTTGTGAACCATCAACTTCTGCACAGCCAGTAGCGCATTATAACGAACTTGTTGGTCTTCATGATGCATGTGGTTCATTACCAGCTGTTTACCACCAAGTTGTTCAATGACTCTGAAAGAGAGGACAGGAGCAGTTTTTTTGACATTACTTCAGCTTCTGGGTAGCTATCCTATCCAACCACTTCATGTTCAAGGCATTAAGAGGTTAAGTTTAAGTCACATGGTATTTACTTTTATTAAAGTATTTCTTTCCTAACATATACATCTTATTTGATATATTACAAATGCAGACCTCTCATACTACCTACTGAATTTTTTTTTTTTTTTTTTTTTTTTTTTTAGAATTCACAACATTAGAAAGTATTTGTACTGGACTCCTCTGTTTGCTACCCACTACCTACTTCTATAAATTTTGAAATAAACAACAACCAAGGAAGGAGCCCTTTTCAGAGAAGGTTATTTACTTTACCCAGCTTGCTAAAGAACTCAATATTGGCTTGAGAGGGTTGGCTGGGTACAGCACTATCGATTATTATTTAGGATGGAGGTAGTGCCCTCCCCTCCATAAATTGATGATAACCAGGTCACTCCATTTTTTTTCAAGAATAAAGCCCCAATTCAGTCCAGCACTGCCTAATCCAGAAAAAATGCTTGTAATCATACCAACACCTATTAAACAAGCCACTTGGTTTAATAGCACTTTTTGCCATTCAAACTGTACTACAGCCACAGCTATTCTTGCACAAGATCCAGAACTGGCTGCTAAGTTACCATTTCCAGAAAAATGGTATGTTTGAGCTGCATCTTTCACTACAAACTTCACCATAGTGGTCAGCCATAGCTTTTTAATAGCTATACCAAATCCCACATGAAATACTGATGAAACCTTGTATCACGTCATGAATATATCATTTCTTAAAAACAACTGGAAGGCAACACACTTCAAACCTGAAAAAGTATCACCATCCAGATGACTCTCTACATGCAGTATTTTGGTCTGTCATAACAAAGAAAGTTTGGAGAGAATTTGGAAGAAATATATAAACTGATTACTCACTGACTTGCATATGTTTTTTTACATTGGTTCTCTCACAGGTCACTGAGCAGTTAAACATAATATCCTGTGAAGAGGCTATCGTTTGCATTACTGATGCTAATCTGCCATTCTAAGCTTGAATTAGCTGTCTGCTTTTATTACTGTTCTTTTCATGGCCAAATTAATGGATTACTGCTGCAGAACACAACATGTTTTTGTAAACTGCAGAACAGTATAAAGACATAGCATGGAGACGAAAAAGAGAATTTCCCATTTCATTTTATAACTCAGTCAAAACCATCCTGGAGACCACAGGGAATATTAATTCCCAACAGTATTAAAACATGTAAGGATGTTTCATACAACAGGAATGCATTCAGAAAAGTGCAATTGTTTTAAGCTGGAAAATCTTCGCCAAGAATTCAAGAAGTTATTAGTAATGTAACAGATTCAAAAAAACCTTTATGCCTGCCTTAGGCTGTGTCCTGGTTTCAGCTGGGACAGAATTAATTTTCTTCCTAGTGCTATTCTAGATTTAGGATAAGAATAATGTTGATAACACACTGATGTTTTTGTTGTTGCTAAGTAGCGTTTGCGCTGTCAAGGACTTTTCAGCTTCCCATGCTCTGCCAGGTGCACAAGAAACTGGGAGGGAGCACAGCCAGGACAGCTAACTCAACTGGCCAATGGCGTATTCCATACCATATGACATCATGCTTAGTATATAAATAGGAGGCATGGTCCGGGAAGTAGCGATTGCTGTTTGGGGACAGGCTAGGCATCGGTCAGCAGGTGGTGAGCAATTGCATTGTACATCACTCATTTTATATATTCTACCACCATTATTATTATTTTCCTTTCCTTTTCTGTTCTATTAAACTGTTTTTATCTCAATCCACAAATTTTACTTTTTTTTTCCGACTCTCTCCCCCATCCCATTGGGGGGGGGCAGAGGGAGGGGAGTGAGTGAGCAGCTGTGTGGTGTTTGGCTGCCTGCTGGGATGAACCACAACAGACTGCCTCACATTTTTAACTGTGAGTTAAATATAAATCCACTGCACACAAAGACAAGATTGTGAAACACAAACAAGAATTTTTTCCTCATTACAGGACTGACTTAAACACTGAATTTTCAGAATTGAAAGGAGGTAAAAAAGGCATTAAACTCAAAAGCTTCCTTATGCTAGAAGCATGCAAGAAAAAATGAAAAGATAAATTCCTATAATCACAAATGGAAATAGAGTATTCCAGATCACAGTACATCACTGAAATTGTGGCTGAGAATATGAAAAGTCAAAAGAACAGCGTTACTGTTCTTGCATAACACTGCTTACTGGTACAAATCACTTCCCAGCCATGTGTTTTATGGTAAGCAACTGTGGGGAAGGTTCACAGTGAATCCCGTTCCTTCAAGTTCCAAACCTGCTCAAAACACTACTTTTAGTTCTGTTTTCCCTCTCCTCAACTTCTGCTTACTTTACAGCAGTAATAGAGCCCAGTGGGCCAGTTACGGTATGTGCCTATCTTCTGCAGGGATTGTTCCCCATAATAACAGTGCACTAAGTCAAAACAGTAGCAATTCAAACAAGTTTCTGGATGCTGAAGAGTCCGATTTTAGCATGACCCATTTAAAGGGAGAAAGAGGAAACAGAAGATGAAGACAAATGAGAACAGTTCAGACCATTATAGCAGAAAATCTTAATATAAAATCCACACTACATATCTAAAAGCAGACCAAGCTGAAAAAGGGAATGCAATTAAGCTGTTTCTGAATCATGAGCTAAAGGAGGGAACGGCTCTAGGTATCAATCTCTTGTACATGCAAAACATAAAACCCATGTTCACGGCATTCAGGTGATTGAAAGTGTTGATCTTACATAGCAGTAACCCTTGGGCCACATGGAAGTTGTACTGGAGGCTGATGTTTAGCCTACATTTATTTTCAGTGTCAGGAAACACCAATGCCGTACTTTATTTCTGCTGTTACACTGTCAGAAAATGCATGTTGGTGAGCCTCATTAGAAGCCCATGGTGCTATTGCGTTGAGAACTTGGTCCACAATGTGCAATTTTAAAGGCAAGTTAAAATTATTTAAGCTGACAACACTGGAGAACAGCCAAGCAAAAATGTAGTATTTAGTTTAACAAACATTTTCTTTTGTCAGACAAAGGGAAAGGTTAGCCAGAACTGTAACTCTAGGTCTCCGCTGTGCGCAGCACGTAAACTCAAGAAGTTTTAGGTTCTAATTCACCTCTGCAACCTTCAAAGGCTGAAGGACGATTCAGGTAAGAGTTGAAGATAAACACTTAAAGGAAACAAAAGTATTTAAGACACTTGAATTCTCTTATTCTTCTAAACTAACGAATAGCATCCATTCTCAAAGTGAGTCATGCAATGAGAGTGTGAAATGCCAACCAGGCGTGGGAGCAGCGAACGACTATATATCAAAAAATATCATGGTAAGAAATGGACTATTACGTGGGAACTGACACACAGTCCTTAGGTATTTTAAGCTTTTAGTCCTAAAATTGCTGCAGTCATCCTTAGTAAGAATACACTGGATTACAAAGGAAATTCTTTAAAAGAAAGAGATGGAGGCATTTTAGTTTGTCCACCAGAACAGAAAGCTAAATAAGCCAAGTCTGTAAGCAGAAAGCAGCTAAAGTACTAGAATTTGATACCAGAACGTGGGTTAGAACAGTATCTAGGACACTTCTTATTTGCTGATGGCCACTCCTTTTGAAGGTTGACGCACTTCTGAATAGGTTTAACAGCCTGGGAGCTGAGCGGAGCTGTGGTCCCACCAGCAGTACATTTTCCCAACTACAGACAGAGAGATACAAGTCCTATTTATCCACTCATCCGACTTCATAGGATTGCTCCAGCAACTGCACGGCCATACTAGCCCAAGCATTATGCCACATAATGCCATGGAGAGGGTATCTTGCCTCCCCTTAAATCCCTTTTGGAATTGTTGTCATAAATCCCTTTTGGAAGACACAGAAGCTAATTAGCAAATCCACAGCACTGCTCAGTACAAGCGGTACACTCTAAACACCTCTGACCTTTCTTAATGCACCTAGAAAACAGTTAACTTGTGCCAATAATCTAAAAATATCTTCAGTTCAAGTTGCTTACCAGACTTCAAGGGCTGTGAGTCTTTCTAGAGTGAACAAATCTTTCTAGCACATACATGGCATGAAGTTTCAGTCTGTTGTTTGTGATTCTACGACTGTCAAGACAGCAGTCTGCACAAGAAGTGTTCATGAAATTCCCAAGCCTAGAAGACCATTTTCATCTTCCCCATTAAACCCTATGCAGAAACCAGAAACAGACCACTTTCCTGCTACAAAAATTAAGTCACATGTCCTTTGGGTGACTGATGAGCACGATTCCTGCAAAAACCAAAGGTCCCTTTCTGCTTCAATGGTCTCTTTACCTTAGAAATGCAATTATTCAGCAATCATCTTTGCTCACAGGTTTTTAAAAAAAAACAAAGCAAGAAAATACAGCAATGTCTGTCTGTATATTTTGACAGGAATTCAGGTTTACAACAAACATTAACACTTTCACCAAAACGTGTATTTGTGTAGCAAAAAGAAAACATGCTAAAATAGAAGAGTGATAACTGAATCTGTGCTAACATCACTGAAATTACAATAGCAATTTTTTGTGAGAAAAATCTTGTCTCAGTAGTCTTAAGTCACAAAACAGACTTAATTATTGTTGAAATAGTCCATCCCTACTGTAAGTCCAATAATTATAGTCCAATAGTCATAACAGAGGGTAAAAATTATATGTTGATTAAATTCCTGGTAGCTCTTTAACTTCTTCTGGTGCATCTCTTCTGCTTTAATCTAAACAACTTATTCAAGACTTCTTTAGACATAGGTTTCCTGCACTATTAAAAGACAGTGAAAAATATTAAGTCAAAGACCTAGTTTGTATTTTCTCATCTGATCTAGTTTGTTTTTTCACCTTTGCATAGTTTTCTCAACTTAAGCATAACCTGCAATCCCTATGTAGCATATTTTAATATAAATACGCAAAAAAGCCACAGGCAAAGTATACACTCTAGCTAGTCTCTTGAGTAACAACATATTGGCATTTTTCTTACCGTTTCCCACGGGGATAGTGTCGTACATATTCTCCCACATCATGAGCAGCTACAGCCAGCACTTGCGGGTCATCAGAAACCTCCAGAAGTTTTGTCAAGATCCTAGGAAAGGATTTGAAACAATCAAGTCCCAGGTTTTGGTTTGGGGTTTTGTTCTGGATTTTCCTCGTTGTTGTTTTTTTAAATCACTGATAACTTAAAGTAACAAAGCCTGTAACCATAAAAATGCTTTACAAGTCACCCAAACAGCAAAGCTAGGATAGAACTTTTTCCATACATGCAGTTGCACTTAAAACAATGGAGATCCTGCCTTAACTAACAGAATTATTAAAAGCATTCACTAGAGTGAATTTAGTGAGACGCATCTACAAATACCTATAACCAAGGGTTACAAAATAGCTCCTTTTTTTATACATTGGCTTCAAGACCAACAGCTTTGAGTTCAAGATAAGCTGTACTAACCAAACGTGTAAATATTTATAGGCTGGGACAGGGGTGGGACACAAACACAAAGCCTACACAAGGCCAAGAGATGCTGCTGCTTCTGTTATACAATAGACCCCAGTCATGCTTGCATGCTCCTCCCAGCTCCTGCGCTATGGATCCTGCACTATGGATTCAGAAAGCGATAAGGCCACATTGCTCGTGATACGGCAAGGGGGGTATCACAAGCCTGCTATCAGCCTTTCCCCAACTCTATTCCTCCCCTCACCTTACAACAGTAGCTTTGCTCAATGCAGGATAGAATGACAAAAAGGGCAGAATTTTAGGTAGAACACTGTTATACAGTCATTTAAAAATTAAATCCTAGCAGTTGAGAACAAAGCAGCACAGAGTTCTTTGGTCTGTGCAACTATGAACTTGTCTTGGTTCAAAACCATCAACTTTATCTCAAAAACATCACTTGTTCAGTCAACTGTTGTGCTGTAAAAAGCAGTTCTGTCCTAACACAAAGACTGAGATGATGAAAGGTAACTTTGTAACTGACTCCAATTTCATATTAGTTATTTTGTTAGCATGAACAGAAATACAGAGAAGAATTAGAAATATCTGTAAGAATTAGAAAACAGTTTCTCAGCTCTTAATACTGTCTGCATTTTTGAATTAAGTAGTTTAATCAGTTTTAGTGGAAAACAGCTACCAGTAACTTTTCTCTAGTCCATAATGAGGAGGGGGAAAAACTGACACAAATATGAAGGTTAGGCACTAATAATAAATTTAACAAGTTAAACATACAGATCACTGGAAAATTAGATCCATCTACGCTTAGTGAGATGCGTTCTAATCACAGAAAGTTAGTAACAAGTTGAAATAGTTAGGTAGGTTAAAAATTCAATTGGAATTAAAAACGAACATTCTGGTAAAATTAAATTACCACAGCCACTGCCTCCCTAGAGGCCAGAAAGTGACAGATGAAGCACTTTCCCTTTTAAAAGAACTCCTAATTTGGACAAGAAGTAGGAGCAGAAACTTGAACCATAACACTAATCAGAAGACACTGAAGATCCATACAATATTGTTGAACAAAATACAAGTCCAGCATCACTTGCTTAAGAAGTCACTAATGGCAGAAGGCAGGAAAAAAAGTAAGTTTAACAGTAAGCTTAAGTATATTAGAGTTAGAAAACAAGCAAGCTGGCAGATAAGGGAAAATAAAATTATGTGGCTTGAAGCAATGAAAGGTTTGTCTGTGAAATGCCTTACAACACAAAAGAGAAGTTCTGAGGTGCAAGAATCTCCTCACGTAGGGGGTGGTGGTTGGGGGGGGTGTTTGTTTGTTGGGGGGTGGGGGGGAATGTTTTTAAAGGAATTATTGTAGATCACTGTCTTTGTGGCAGCACAAGCACAATACCTAACAGTCCCAGAACCAGGAGAGATGAATACAGCAAAACATTGCAATTGCTACAGGAAATACTAAGCCTCAACATCAACTTCATGTTGCAGTTGGCAGCATCTGAAATTTTGAAGTCTATAATCCTACATATTTAGCAATATGCCCTCAGGGAGGAATTTATCAGACTTGTTTTGGTGAGTTTCAGGGCAGACTGAAATGCACAGAAAGCTTAGGATCAGCTTGCTCTTGCCATGCCTTCTAACATCTCACATGCGCCACTTGACCTCCTGATTTCTGTTAGGTCTAGCACTTATTAGCAAGTACTGAACAGGAAGAATACCACATATTATCAGTTAATGACAATGCAGTTAAACAACTAAGAGCTCCTACAAGCTATTTAAGACTTAGACATCTTCTGAGTCCATACTTTCAGAAGCCAGCAAATAAGTTCTTGACTCCAAAAGGAAAGATGAGCTTCAGCTTCACTTCATCTAACAATCTAACACGGTCCCTAGACAAAATAGACTGCAGTGTAATCCAGCAAGTCAGATTTTCCATGCAACAGTACCACAACTTTCAACCCCCAAGCATTCAAGACAGGAGTTCATTATTCTGATCAACAACAACACACAACACAAAACTGAAACTAAGGTATGGTAAAACCATTTTTAATTACATCAATTAGTATAGCTGTTTTTCAAGTGAAAGATGAAAAGAGTCAACAGCACAAATTTGCATGCAAGTTAAGCTAGAGGTACTCCCTCTATCATCATCATCAATACAGTAAAAGCAAATAAACAATTCTGCTTTTGAACAAAACAAACCATACATGAGTAAGAACCATACATTCTAAAAACAGCAAGATGTTCTGACTTGCTTTCATTCTACACATTACTTCGTGTTGAAATGTAAAACCTGTATTAGATACAGGTTCAGTTGAACACAAAAAATATTAAAGAATTACGTGATTTCAAGATTTGAAAACTTACTTCAGTAGTTCATAATTTTTCTCATTTAGTCTTACAGCATTCTCCCGCCAAAACTTCTCAGACTTGTGTACAGGACTCCACTCCAGTCTTCCTGACTTGAGCTCAGAACTGTACTCGTCGAAGGAGCTGCAACACAAAAGACCTAAATGAAGTATTGGCTAAGCTTCTATGAACAGAGTTTGAACTGTGTGTCTAGAAAGACAAAGCTGGAGCACAACTTGCTATGACACATTTGGAAGTCAGCTCTCTGCAGAGCATGAGAACTGTTCCGTCTCAGAGTTCAACACTTTAATAATAAGGAAAGGCATGAAAGACAAGAGAAAAATTTGGTTTCAAACATACCCCTCCATCCACCCCAAAACAATTCCTGAAGGCGAGGGAGAGGGGGAACCAAACCCAAAAAAAGAGGAAAAACCCAAGCCACACAACCACAGCCTTTGGGAATTCAATTGGCTGCTTTGCCTGTTTTCTAGGTTTTAACTTCCCCAACCAAGGATACCAGTCCCTGCCTTTCATCCAATCAAACCTTTGACATGAACTACAATATGCAGTTCAATTTATGCATAAGAGCAAGAACTAGGAAAACACTAGCAAAAACTTGAGTTAATCTGGACAGCAAAATGTATTCTAATCAGGTAGTCTTCAACTTAGACTCAGATTTATTTTCTATTCAGCCTGTAAATACTTACTTAGAATAGGAAACTTCTATATACGACCAGCATCTCTGTATACTCTACCTTATCAACTAGCATTTAAGTATCATAATTCTGTATATTATTTAACCTTAAGAAGAAAGTTTTGCCAATATTCATATAATTGCATTTTTTTAAAGTTCACACTGCAAAGCATACCTAAGGTCCTGCACACTCTCACCAAGCTTGTCCAGTAGAAATTTGATATCTTCACTTATGTCTTCATCATCATATTTCTGCTGATCCAAATTCTCCAGCTGCTTTAAAACTTTACACTGAATCATGGCAAGAGCATATTCTTGGCGAGTTTCTCTCTCAGTAGATTTCTCTAACAAATTCTAGGGAAGTAAAAAGTTAGTTATTTTGTTTGTTTTAAGAACAGGCTACTTCGAAACAAAGTGGTATTTTTAAGAAATTCTTACTGGCACTTTTTAATTTAGTAAGTGACAGAATTGACCACTTCCCAAAATAATCTGTCCAAAGAAGTAAAGTATGAGTCTACCACACAGTGGCTGCTTTGCACCTACATTTAGTGGCATAAGTTGCCTAGGACTGATCTTACTATACAGAAGGAGTATTCATATCTGTCATTACAGCAGATGAAGAGGAACTTAAAAAAAACAAAAGAGGCTCCATCTTGCAAGGTAGACATAATGCAACTATATGTGCCGAAAAACACAACCACCACTGCATTCAAGTTTAGGTCACTTATACTTTTTTCCTCCTAGATGGTATACTACCTTCAACACTAGAAAGTATTAATTCACCTGCTTTGATCATTTTCCACATCAAATCAGGCTGACTACAAAGACTATCCAAAGAAAAAGGACAGGCTTACATCCCAAATCCCAGAGTCTCTGCGATAAACAACTACTTTTATCTGGGATTATCATTTTCTCTTTCTGTGCAGCAATAGCATAAAGCAGGAAAGCCCTAAAAAAAAACCCCAAAAAACCCACAAAAAAAACCCCCAAAACCAAACAACCTGAAGTCATCTTTCCAACTCAAGAGTTACCACCTGGATTAGATCAGGTTCTTTTGAATTTGGGAATATTCCAACTAGACATTTTTATTCAAACAGAAGCTTGTTGGTAAGACTGGAATTACAAGCACAGATTTAGTCAAGTTCTAATGTCATTTATTCCTTACATTTTTACTCAATTTAATCAGCTTCAAATTACGTTGTTCAATCAGAGCTAGCCACCTGCACTTTTTGATAAAGCTGAAAACGTGAATTCCATATAAAAGAAAGTCCTTAACAAACAGAACACGTGTTCATATAAATAAGCCTTAACACCTACCAGAAATAAGCAATGAAACCATACAGAAGGAATTTGACTGCATCACTCTCATTCATGTCACAGAACCATTACACTTAGGGTTTCTAAGATATCAGACATTATATTAGTTAGTAAGGCAGAACACTGCAAACAAATGTTAAAACTTGCATACTGAAAGTAAGTCATATTACTGCTTTTAATGGCCACATAAAATCAGTTTTAATGTGCAAGAAAACCCCCGCTTCTATTTGAGTAAGAGAACTGAGAAGTAAAAGGTAATTTACAGAAAATAATGCTACATTACTTAGAGTTAAAAGTGCTAATGAAAGAAAGAGAACAAATAATGAATCTTAAAAGACAAAATTCAACAAGTTCAAGGAGCAGGTAGATAAAGTTTCCAAAGAACTCCTAATGAAGAGAATTATAAGCAGATGTGGAAGCTACTCCAAATATTATTACCTATCTCATACCGTAGTGAGATATTCAAGCTTTTTATAATGAAATTGAAAGGATGTGTTGGGAAAGTACAAACACGGGACTAAATAGAATGGATCAGTAAACTACTCTGATAAAAAAAATCTTGAGGTACAAAATGAGTTACAAGTAGGAAACAGACATAAAAGACAATAAAAGTATGAAAAATGAGGAAAAAACATTTTAATAGGTAAAGAGACTAATTGCTTCAAAGTAGACCGAAGCACCCAATACCTGTTGCTTTATAGAAAAAAATTACATTATAGTTACATACTTCAGGCAATTAACTTGCCAAAGGAGGTGAAACAGGTCAGATTAGGAGAAATCGAGTAGTAGAGAAGACATATGCAAGTTGTCAAGACTCAGGGCATACCTTCAGTAATGCACAGGCAGTAGGGATGATTTGGGGAATCATCAAGCCTAGTCCTTTATGCAATTCACCTTTTTTTTTCCCCCCATAAACTGATACTGTGGTCTCTCACACAGGAAGAAGCCTATTTTGCCTCTGCTACCTATTTTAATTTTGCTTCAGAACTCACAGCTCTGATGTCTAATTTCTAATCTATTATTTCCTGGCTGCCAGTTTATAAGCTCATTTTAATGCCAACACTAGTCTTTAATGTTGGAGAAAGAAAACAGCTAAGCTAATTTCCCCAAAGCCTGTAACAGAACCATCTTATTCTTTCTTAGCCTTTATTTATTAAAAGAACTTGGCTTCATTTTTGTCTCCTCTTGCAAAACACACTAAATCTAAGAACTAGCAATTATTTCTCCTACTTTTTATGATCCCAGAATTGGAAGAAGTTGAATATAAACCGCTGAGCCCCTGAACTTTTTTTTCCCCCCAAGCTGGCTTGCTATACATCCCTGCTTAATCCTAACATTAAGATCCTAAAGAACACTAGAACATCTACAGAGGTCTACATAGTAAGAATAGCCCCTACTGAATACCTCACGCCACCGACCTCCTTCGACACGATAAATAGCATATTCTTATGATCTACCTTATCCAGAAATTTTTCAAAGTGGCAGATGCTATGGCTAGAGAGGCCATTTAAGTCCCAGGGTAAGCATCTTCACACAGCTCATTATTGCTGATCAGCAAGTCAGTAAGCAACAGTTCTCCTCTCCCCATCCTAATTCGCTTGCAACACCTACTACTGGAACACAATCAACACCCAGGAAAACAAATAGTTTCCAAGATCTACATCTCCTACTCAGGATATAAGTCCTGTTTTAAAAGAGTATTAAAAGTTGTTATAGCATTCCTGTATTGCATACAAGACACTTGAGAAGCATGCACGTAAAACTATGTGCACATGCACAATTAGCATCCATGAACACAAATTGGTACTCTCACAATGAAAACATCAAGCCTCAGTGCTCTGTTATTCCAAATTATCTTAAATAGGACCAGTGATTTTCAGGTAACATGGACACAGTAAGTCAACTAATCACTCATTCATCTTGACAGAGCCACCAAGAAAAGATTTTTGGACTAGTAGATAAAAATAATCTCTAAGTCAGTCAGTTGGACAAACATATGCATGTTTAAAATAATATTATTAAATTAAAGCTTTGTAAGGCAAAATTTATCAGGTATTAGTAACTAGTGTGTTTTACACTAGTACCAGTAGAAAAAAGAATCTTGAACTAAAGAAGGGAAATCACTAGTGCCTGTGTTAACGCAGGTTTTTTTAAGTCAACCTTATTTTAAGAAGACATTGAATAGCAGATGTTTATTACTTGTAATAGCATGTCTATTACCTGTAGCAAAACTCAGTTCACAAAAAAAAAGGAAGAATTAAGCTTTCAGTCCAGTTTACTGACACAGTCTAGCAGAAACAGCTGTGCATCAGCAACATTTGAGACCTACTCATTTGAGAGAGAAGCGCAGTGCAATTGCAGTCAACAGACACTTACCCGAAATGCTGCAAGGATGATCCTAGTTACTTTCTCTTTGACAGATTCCTGAAGAATATCCGACAGCACTGGAACAATATTATACCGACGGAGATATTCGCACATTTGAGGGCTAAATGCCAGCAGCCACACACAGAAAATCATCTGATACTGGAGCTGGAAGCCGCATTTGTTGCTCAAGACCCCCATGATACTGAAAAATTAACACAGTATACATTTAATTTTTAAATAATGACTGCATAGATTGCATTGCTCCACCCTGAAACATTAGAAGAAATAGTTAACAGGAACTTATTGGAAAGAGCTGCTGAGGACAAGTATACAACACACGCTTCACAGTATTCTGCACCAGTATTTATCATTGTACAAGCAGCTTGTTCAGAAAGCCATCTTTTAAAGACATAGTTATTTCCTCCTTAGCCTTACAGCCATAAAGCAGCTTTTCCCATGTGAACTGATGTGGTACTGTATCCATCTTCAGGTTCACCGAGACTCTTTTTCTACTGGCACGTTTAGAGCATTATTTGTCATTATAGGAGAAAGAGAGAAACACATATCTACTCCTTCAGAGTTAAGAAAGAGAAGGAATAAACAGACAGAACAAAATCTACACAAATTGAACTTGTTTCCTTAATTGTATCTCTCCACAGGAGTGTCTGAAATGAGCTGAAGTAGTCTTTATTTAACAAGTGAGTTCTCAGAAAACAGCTTATAGATATAACACATCACACATATACAAAGCACTGCTAGAGAAGAAATAATATCACAAGATCTGCAAGAAGAAATAATGCAGAAGCTTTGTTCAGCTGAAGTTTTGAAAATTTAATAAGCAATTTTCAGGTCCATTCCAAAAAAAGCTAACCCAATTTAAAAAAAAACTATCCATTTTCAAGATCATTGCTATCAAAATTAAAACAAATTCAAACTTGTTGAAACACAGGCTTATTGTAATGCTTTAACAGTTTATTAAAATGCTTTCTTGGTGAAAGAATTTGTTTCAATAGTGTCATCTTGACACGCGTGAACATCTTTTGAACTTTCACTTCACTGGTAACTTCGACTTTTCTCCATTTCAGAGTACAGGGGTATTTTTTCTTACAGTGCAAATAGTACAGCCACCATCCCCAATAGAGGCATGCATGGCAGAAAAATTATTTATAGACAAGCATTTTTTAAATAAGAAGAGTGACAACATCCTAGCCTCATGCAGAGCTATTTATGAAGAGAATCTGGATAAAAGAATGACCTACTTGAAGACATATGTGGAAAAAAAAATTGAGCTTAGCACTAGAACATGTTTCTCCTTTCACTAATACTTTCAGACAGAACAACTCCAAACTGAAAGACAAGGAAGATTAGCAGAAACTCATTTCGTTAGTCCTCTTTCTATAAAATAAAAAACAGAGCATCTTCAGCTGAAGTCAAATGGCTGTATTCCCCTTCAGATATTTATTTAAGCAGTTCTTCATGAAGAGTAAAGCAGCATTAAAGTGTCAACATTGGTACCTATATCTGCAAGTTCCATTTGTCTATTTGACTGTATTAATGTTTGAAAACAAATAGGTTTTGTACTCAAACAGAGCAGCTGTCTTTTGCAAGAGAATTCTATTCCAAAAGGGACCACTGGGGAACATGCTATTGTAAGTTCAAGTATATCCATTAAATTGAAATAAATGCTCACCAATTTACTCCATCTGCTTCTACCCACGCAAAGCGATATTCATTGACCCTGAGCATCAGCTGCAGACAACCAGCAACACATTGTACATACTGGGAACTCTGGGTGAAAAGAAGAACACATCACTTCTTACAAGAAGAGTTAGGTAGTAATTGCTGAAGTTCAGTTTTCCAAACTAGGCTTTACTGGCATACTTCAGCACACATTTCCTCAGTGACACTTCCAAGTTAAACAGGCTCACTCTTACAATGCTTTACATCCCCCTATTTAAAAAAAAAAAAAAAAAATCTCACAAGAAGAGGTGGGAAGCAAAATATAAATGGAGAACAGTTTTGAATAGGAAAGAAGTGTTGTGCAAAATGAAACCATTTTACATTACCATAACAGATTTTTATAGCCTATTTGCACTGCCTTCTTTCAGTATCTATGAATGAAGGCTGTCTTCTGTTTGATTATACTGCCAGAGCCCGTTTCATCCACAGAGTCAATTGTTATTCCACTGAGCAAACTTTGGGAAATAAATCAGCAAACTGGTTACCAAGCTTGAAGAAGTTTGTTAGAGGTCATTGTAGAAAAAGGAATCTTGAGCTCAGGTTCTTCCCACTCCCATTCTCCAACTTTGACGTCCAGCAGACGTCCGGAAAGTTGAAGTCCCCCACGAGAACAAGGGCTAGTGACTGTGAGACTTCTGCCAGCCTCTGGCAGAATATTTCGTCTGCCTCCTCATCCTGGTTGGGTGGTCTGTAACAGACTCCCAGCAGGATATCTGCCTTGTTGGCCTTCCCCCTCATCCTTACCCACAAGCACTCGACCTCATCATCACTACCATTGAGCTCTAGACAGTCAAAGCACTCCCTAACATACAGGGCTACCCCACCGCCTCTCCTTCCTCGCCTGTCCCTTCTGAAGAGCTTATAGCCATCCATTGCAGCACTCCAGTCGTGAGACTCATCCCACCATGTTTCCGTGATGGCGACTAAGTCATAGCTACCCTCCTGCACAACGGCTTCCAGCTCCTCCTGTTTGCTGCCCATGCTGCGTGCATTGGTGTAGATGCACTTGAGCTGGGCTACCAATTTCTCCCCCGACATTGGCGTGCCGCCCCTAGGCTCTTCTCTAGGGAGCCTGGTTTTATCCCCTTCGCCCTTTGCACCTAGTTTAAAGCCCTCTCGATGAGCCCCGCCAACTCGTACGCGAGAATCATTCATTTCCCTGGGTAGGTATTGACTCTCACACACCATGCAAATAAAACTGCTATAAACACACAGACAGCCCTGACACCCCAAATAATGTATTCATTTATCTGCATCACCAACCTGTGTACTACCGAACTTGGAGTTTTCTTTTTAAAGAGTCTGTCATAAAAGCATTCTCTTCCAACACTATTATGAAATTTCATAATAGATCCCAACCCTCATTTCCTGTGTAAAATGACTGCATCTCTAATTTACTCTAAAATAAATTAGTCAGGACCTGTTTGAAAAGCCTGCACAAGCTAGATCTGAAATCAGAACACTAACGAAGTCAAGACAATACTTACCCAACTTAATTATCCTAGAACATATTTGCACTATCAGTTCTGCTGCTTTGGGACCCTGCAGTACTGTGGTACATCCATGCAGTGCTACAGTTCAATGAATACAGATTTCTAAGCAAGTTAGAAGAGCTCACAGCTCCACAAGTGGTGCTGCGTGCTGTAGGTCTATTTACTGCTTTAAGGCTCTATGACAGAGGGCTGTCAGCCTAACAAAACTTAACAGTATGGCAGACAGAACTGCACATGAAATACTGAAATACTTCAACTTCTATGCTCAGGCCATAATTTCACCCCCTATCCATTCTCATGTGTGATGGTCTTTCATCTTTTCTATTTTAAACCCTGGTCAGGTGGTAATTTAAAGAGGCTTTTCTCTACAGGAAGCTAACGCTTTAAAGCGATGACTACATTTAGAAGAGAAACAAATTCCAGGTTCATATTTAAGTCTTCTGAAAAACTGCGAACACTTTCAGGTTGCAAAAGGAACAAACGACCAAACTGAATCCTATTCCACATTCAAAAGCTATGATAAACCGCCTCATTGTGCCACAACAAAATAGAAAATCCAGTTATGATGATCACCTGCGTTTGTTATTCTGCCACAGTTCATCTCCAAGCTCAACAGCCATTATAGCTACAGGACATCAGTATAAATACTGATGAGAAAAGGACAATCCATTTTCCTCTGAATTCAGGCTGTTCACATATGAAAAGCTTACAGCTTTGAAAGCACTCTTGTGATTTCATGCTACAGAGGTTTGAGGGACAATGTTAGCTTCAATATCTGATATGCCTTTTTTAAGTTCTGCACATTAAAAGAGCCAAAAGTTTCTTAGTCTCAGGTTACTTCTACAAGTCAGAAGTTCAGTGCTAAACAGACAGTATTGTTCAAATATTAAATTAATTGCATATAATTTTTTTCAAGTTTTAACAAAGAGGATGCTAGATACATCTACATTTTTAACAACCCAAACCAACTTGTAAAGTACATACTTCCACTGCCAGCATTTTCTGTGAAACCAGTGTTTTAAAACCACTTTTGTTTCTTGGCGCCATCACCTGGCACTCTGTTGTCATACAGTTCTGATACCAAGTACTTTCTATTACTGACACCAAAAAGCTCCGCTACTTAATCTGAGGAGTGGGTATCACCTGCCCAAAATAGCAAATTGACAGATTTCAAAGAGATACTTACATCACTTGTGGAGACTGCTCCTGTTTCCACAGAACCCCCTGTACCACGTAGTTTCTAGCAAAAAAAAAAAAAAAGTTTAAAATCAGAGCTGTCCTTCACCCTTACAGAACAGTTGTTACCAAGTTTCTTCCAATTCTCCCATTGCTTTAGTCATAAAAAGAAAAGATTAAGAATCTATTAGATACTTTTTTTGCTCAATATATTATGATTATATATTGTATTTGTTTCCCCCCACACACCATCATGTCTAGAAGAATATGGTTTGAGCTGATCTTGGTATATGACGATTTAAATTTTCTTCTTTTTTCTTTTTTTTTTTTTTAATTTAATTGTGGACTTACTCGAGACTTTTATCCATCTTTATCTCAGAATTTGAAAGCCGTTCTCTTGGATCTTTCTGAAGGAAATTCCAACTTTAAGATTCTTCTTCCAGAGTAAAAATAAAACTCGTTTTTAATAAGCCCAGTCTGGAAAACTATGAAAAAAATATACCCCTACTAAACCTACTGAATGTTTCTCTGCTTTCCATAATCCACTTCTGCTACAACAGAATGACAAATCACTGAGTTTTGGCAAGGACTGAAGAGAAAACCTCCAAAAATTAATACAAAGGAGAACAATTAATCTTTGAAGGAAAAGCCAGCAGTAAGCAGTTCATACTGAGCTAATGGCATACAAATACTGTCCAAGTAAGTCGGGACTGACTTAGTTTCAAGTGACAGGACTAAAAATAAAAGCTTTGTTCTACAGTAAACTGGAAAAAAGTTTTGACACTCACTTCCTGCCGCTATGTAATTTTTCTTCCTAGTAAAAACCTCTGAGAAACAAAACAATACAGGGAGACAAAAAAACCCTCATCATATGTTTTCTGAGTGTCCAGAAGAAAATAAACATTTACAAACAGAAAAGGCAAAAAGCCTTATCTTTTATTTTTAATTTAAATTTCAAGGACTGGAGTAGAAAATACAAAATATTAAATTAAAAAGTATGTATTTGAATAAAGGATAATTAGCTTTAAAAATAAAAAAGTAACATCTCATTTTTAAAAGAAGAAAACAAAAAAAAAACCCCACTCCTGTTTGCACATCTATATATTCACATTCTTGAAAAAGTTTCCAAAGTCACTGTAACATTTAAACAGAAGTAGCTTTTTACCTGTGAACTGAGCTGAGTTTTAATCCAGTTGAAATAGTAATTCAAGTCACTGCCTTCCATAAGTTCCCTCCCCCACGCAGCCAGTTTGGCAATAATTCTTGCTGCCTGAAAGAGAACGCAATAAACAGATTTTTCAAATGCAGCAATTTCAGGATTCAGTAAAAAGTCGTATAAGCCGTGGAAACCGAGTTTAGGTAAAAGATAGCCCCTTACAGAAATCTACCTGTTTTCTATGTAGGGGACTCTTCATGGCTAGTAATTGTGTTTCTTCAGCTTTCTGCTGCTTCTAGTTCCTAGTAACTGGTATATTTTCACAGTGTTATCAGATGTCTCTGTTATCACTTGTCTCTGACAAAGTTCACAAAGACACCAACAAAGAACTCAGAAGCAGGGGGAGCTATCAATGGGCTACTGCTGTAGGACACTATTACAGTCAGAAATCTATCAACAGTAAGACACTCAATGGTCTAACACATACATGAGCAGGCTTACTTTAAGCAACTACAGCATATGCCACACAAATGATTGCAAAGTATTAAAGTTTTCTGTACTTAAACTGAAACAAGTCATCTTCAAGAAGGAAGAAGTTTCAAGCCCAGAAAAAGAAGAGCAGAAAACCAAAAGGGAAGGTAGAATTTAAGAATGAAGTTGAGGAGTAAAAAATGTAGTCAGGTTAAGAATTTTCATTATGCCTATGGCACAAGAATACATATAACAAGAGTATATTTCTACGCCAGCTTTTCCAAATCATCTTTGAAGTAACTCTACATTGTGGCCTGCAGTTTATTTGCAGAAACATTTGAGCCAGCTTATATATAAGGAGGCAGTCTAACCAAGAAACTACTGAGGTAGGGGTTCGTTTGCCTGCATACAGCTCTGTGATGCAGTGAGGAGACTATTCCAGGCACCTTTCCACTATATTGCATTCAGATGTGCAGCACCACCACCACTGATTTCTAGAAGGATTATGAGTGAGAATCTGGAACAACGAACTTTACACTGAAATGCGTCAAATCCACTTCTGAATGCAGCCAAGTAATCCTATAAAATCCCTTCAGCTTTAAAACATGAGATATTAGATCACTAGCTTACCATGCTCCTGAGTTAAAACTGCTACTTGACCCCTGAATAAGAGACCATTCATGCCTAGCAGAATTTGAGCCTCAACACAGAAAACAAGTCTTTTTATCTGTCTATGCAGATACAATGATGTGGCAGCAAAAGTCTTCCAGTGTGCACAGTAAGGGGAGGGGGGGTGGAAATCACAACAAAACCAACACAAACCTAAAACTTTGTTTTGAAAACATTCATGCACTTAAAAAAAACCAAATATATGCACAAAGAGTAGTAAAAGGCACAATAAGGGAACAAACTTAGTGTTTTAAAATGGATTCACATTACGTGAGGTTCTCTGCAACTTGTAAAGTTATTTGTGTATTTTTGCAGTACCTAAAGAACACAGTATCAGAATAACACATCTGTGTGCAGAGAAATACTGGGCACAGAAATTTCTATACTATACATTTGAAAGCCACCGTTCTAGGGAGACTAATTAGTTTGCACTAAAAGGGTCTAAAAATTACACTTTACCTGCACATTTGAGAAATCAATATTGTCCGAGTTTGCTCAGACTGCAGTTTTGCAAGATGGGTCTTCAGCAGCAATACCGCAAAAGAAAACAAAAAAACAAAAACAACAAAAAAAAAGAAACAGCACCACAAACCACCAACAACCAAAAAACCCCAACAGCATCCTCCTTCAGCTGCACCAGGTAACCTGATTCCACGCCATGCAGTGATTCAGTCAGATTAAAAAAAAAAAAAAAAAAATCAAGCCTGACATTTTTCTTGGAAACAGGCCAGCTCACTGTTCAAGTCGCAGCACAGCCCCAAACACAGTTGCACTGGCCACACCTAAGAACAAACAGCATGACTTGCCAGTACTGCCACCAGAGCATAACACAGGCCAGGTATGTGGTTTTGTAGTTTGAGCCACTGATTTGATTCTACCATACCATGCCAGCATAAACATACGCAGTGAAGAAAAACTCATATCCATGCAGTTTTCTCCCTCTTCAAGCCATAATACAAGTTTTATTGGTGGAAACTATGGTCTTCATTAGGAATTTACAGTAATACAACCATATCTTTCCCCCACAAGGAAAAAAAAAACTGCTGAGATGAAATGGCCAGTTCTCATCACAGATGACAGAAGAATATTAAGAATTCCAGAAAAGTTACTCCATATACACCAGCAGCACCCAGTGGCTCAAAGCGCAGCAGATACCATCAAACGCACATAGTTGTACTGGGCTTGTCTGGGATGGACTTAATTTTCTTCATAGCAGCACATACAATGCTGTGGTTTAGACTGGTGACCAAAACAGCATTGATAACATACCAACGTTTTAGCCGCTGCTGAGCAGTGCTTGCACAACATCAAGTACTTCTCTGTTTCTCACTCTACACTTCCAGTGAGTAGGCTGGGGGGCGGGGGGAGAAGAGGCTGGGAGGGGACACAGCCGGGACAGCTGACCAAAGAGATATACTTGCTGGGCATCAGTCTGCTGGTGTAGTGTGATTGCTTTTGCATCACTTCTTTTTGTTGGATTTGTTTTGGGTTCCACACCTTCTCCCTTTTTTCCCCTTCGCTTATTAAAGTGTCTTTATCTTGATCCACAAGTTTTGTCACTTCTGCCCTCCTGATTCTCTCCCCAGTCCTGCTGTGGGGGACTGTGCAAGCAACTGGGTGGGACCTTTCCTGTCAGCCAGCGTCAACCCTCAACAGCAGACAGTATTTCTTCCCCAGTATGCTTACAAACCATTTTAAGAAGATTTCAAGTGGCATTATAGTCATTTGAGCATATGAGAAGATAAGATTCATCAAGGTAAAGATATTTTCCTTTCACAGGATGAGATCTTAAATTCTAATATTTGTACAGCATGAGGAGCATTGACTGGCAGTTGTGACAAAAATTATTTTTCTAGTTATGTCTTACTGTGCTTAATTAATTCTAAAATCCTTGCTTTTCTGAACCTTTAAAACCTGCTCTAATCTCCCAGAAAAAACAATGTTAATAAACAATGTAACTTTTCTTTCTAAAATGTGATCAAGCAAGGGTTGTACCTTTTCTTTCTAAAATGTGGTCAAGTGAAGGTTGTATCAAGAATGACTCATCTAGACTGCAAGAGGAAAACTTACTAGTCCAGGCAGAAGTTTAGCTTCAAACTCCAAAATAAAGATAAAATAAAATAAAGAAAAATAAAACCAGCATTTTTCTCAACCATCTTCAGAGACAGTTCATTTAAAACTTACCATATGCACAGTGAAAAGATCTTGTCGATTCAACATCGGCAGAAAATAGGACCATGCAGTGTTTTTACCACGTTTTGCATAATCAAAGAAGATACAAACACGCTGATGATTTTCCTGTAGAAATTGGGAGAGGGGAGAAAATGAGAGACTTGTAAAAGCATTCAACATAAAGCAGTTATTTGCTCTTCATTATGTTGGCATACATTATCAGAGTGTATCCTGGCTTATAACAGCCCATAGAAATTTTTCAGTTTTACAGTTACTTGTGGATACAGTTCATTTCAGCACTCCAACATTAAGGTTAGAGATTTGAGGCAGGAGGAAACAAACTTTGAAACCCTAGTTATATCTCAGTACTCCACTACCTGCTTGAGTAAAAATGAATGTATCCTTTTGATCAAGCAAGCAGAATAACAGAAATGAGACTAGCTAAATACTGTCATTTTCCAGAGGAACACTACTCTTCATGCAATCAATTATGCTTGAATAAAGTCCACACAAAGTTTTCCACGTATTGCTACTTCCACACAAAAGCCTGTTGTTCAACTTCGCTGCGTGTGCTACAAGTGAAACTTCGGAGTTGTAAGCTAGTCCTGCCTCTCCATTCCTCTCAATGGGAAGCGAGCTCTTCTCTCCCAGATGAGGCTGCAACTGGTTCAGCTGTTATCTCAGGCAACCTGAGCACCGAGGAGAGGACATAGTCACCAGAAGTCTGTTCTCCAGGGCTTCTAGGCTGAATCACAAGAGACCGCAAGTAACTGAACCTAAGCACCGTGCAGTTCCTTCAAGCATTTTACCTAATAACCACCGTGAAAAGCAGCTATTATGGTTCTCCTTAAAGCAGACCAGAGAAGAGGCCTTGCAAACCTGAAGGAGAAAGAAGACCTCTGCTCTTTCCTAATAGCCTAGAATATAGACAGTCTCCCAGAAAATCAAATAACCTGGATTCTTGCTTTTCCCCAGCATTTCCATATACTTTCTAGCCTGGTGATTAGCAAGCTTTCATTCTAAAGAGATGTCTCCCCATTGAAGTCAAGCTAGTACAACAAAGTATACAACTCCTATCAAGGAAGGCAAAACTGTTTGAAATGCTGTAATTGGGAAACTCGCATGAGAACAGTATCTCAGTCTCCACTACCCAATGAATTTAATTTTCGAACTCCCCTAGCTGAAGGGCTTTCCTCCATCAATTCAGCACCCTATTAACAACTCTATGGACCAAGAATCAGCTAGGCAAGCCTGCTTGTTGGAATACGATCCGTTAAGCACAAGATGACCTGAATGTATCCATGATCCAAACACTGGCATCTTACTAAGCATCAGAGTTGCAACCAACCCTTCATTGAAAGTATCGAAGTTACTGGACCACACAGGCTGCAAATTACTGTGTCCTGATCACTGACTGGGAAAGGTCAGGTGTCACTAGTTATCTGACAGTCATAACCCTTAGAATGATTAATGTTCTATATGGCATGTGTCAAAAAGCACTCAAAAACCCTCTCAAAATTTGTTGTTCAAACTATGAAATAAAGAAAAAGTAAGATCTCAGGAACAGAGTGCCTTGGTGGAGAGCCTCTGCTCTGTGAGGGCTAGTTTGATAAAAAATGGCAGTTCAATCAAATAAATCTCTCTTAGCATCTACACTTGTACTACACAGAGTCTAGCTAAAAAGATCAAAAATAACTAGATCAATGAGTTCAGTTTACAACATAACTAAGGAGGAGACAGACAGGTCTGGAAGCAGAAAAGCTGAAATAACTTCAACATCTTGTCAATCAGAAGACTAGTCTGGTTTGCTGTGCGGGGTAAAGAGTGGAGAACTGCCTACAGCCCTGAAATATGTAGTGCTGCACCCTCCTAGGCAGCTACTGACTACACTCATAAAATGGAAACCCTGAAGCTCTCACATCAACGGTTGAATAATTTAGCATCTATCATTTCTGAAGAAGCATAATGAAGCTGGGTGGTACTGCTACTGTAGTTGGTGCAGGTTCTTAAAGATTTCACAAGTAACAGACTGTGCAGTATGACAGGGTCACTAATCCAGAGAAATTGTTCCAAGCATTTATCATATGAGTAGAATAAGAAATGTTTCCTCAGGGATTGCAGTATGCTAACACTCTCCACCTTCAGAAATAAGCAGAACAGTAGTACTTTTATAAGGCAATCACCACATTAATTTCACTTCTGACAGCCTCCAAAAGAAATCTTTCTTAGAAAGATGATCAAACCCCCAAGTAGAACTGCTGGAACAATCCTAGACACCCAGGTAGGCTTTTGGTGTGCTCAAAACACAGTTGATACAATTTTTACAACCTCACAAGAAAAGCATAGAAAGATAATAGAAGAACCACAGTCATTATCACAGACAAAGGCTGGATACTGTTACCTACGATAGTTTCTAGAAGTTTCAGCTATCACCGGTAGCTTGCAAATACTATTTGTTTGTCTCATGAAACTGCAGTGAACATCCTTGCTCAAAACAATTTTACTGAAAGAGTCAGTGGCACCATGACAGGCCGTGTCCTTGAATAACTTCTCACTTAAAATCTTTTCTTTGCAAGTACTGAATTAAGACTACTCAGGCAAAGACAGGAGACTTCCTATCTGCTATTGTGAATTCTTCTGTCCATGCAGTCTGCAGAGACCCCGCACTAAACTCACAGTCACAGAGTCAATGGCCAGTATACTCCTTTCTGACAAGAATATTACACCTTGAAAATGTGCAACCAAGGGTCCATAAGGCATCACTGACAACGTGTTCTACCATCTGAACATGACCAAAGGAAAATAGAAGTCCTGTTTCACCCTTGCCTAGTGGAGGCATGGAGTGTTAGGAAGCCCTGGGATGATGCCATGCAGACACATGCACGCAAGCCCTCTTTGCCAGCAGCAAGATATCCCTGAATAATGAAGTCACACAGAGCATTGCAAAAGCCAGTGCAGCCTTTCAGACACTGAAGCAGAATTTCTAAAGTGAAAAAGGCATCCAATTTCAAACAAAAGCAAATATATACCTGTGCACCAACATCTCTATTCTCCTGTATCACTATAAGGCCTGGACAATTTAAAGTAATTATGTTTAACATTAAGAATTCCACACATGCCATTCTGCAGCAGGGTAATGCCCTGCATACAGAAATGTCAGTGCTTGACCATAAAGTCAAGAAAACATGTTCATCTAGACACATATGACAGAACCAATACGGCAAATAAGAGATTACTCAAAACTACTTTCTGTGACTAATACAATTGTTTGAGAGTGGGCCAGTGAAAGCCTTTACCTGTGGGGTATTAATTCCACAGCACAGGAGATAATATCGGCTATCGCATATTGTAGCTATAGGCTAAGTGCTAACGTCAAAGCACATAAGCAAAACAAGACCTACTAACACTCACAAAAATTTCCAAAGAAGGGCAAATGAAATGATTACTTCTGTGGCCACTGACATGTCTCACACAGAAAACGAGACCCATTCCTCACAAAAGTAGCTATAATAAACAGAGTTCTCCCAAACTAAGACAAAGTTTGTCATCAAACGCATAAACCAAAACAAGGTACTCCCAACTCAGTATCCTAATCAAGGAATGACACTGAGGCTCCCTTTTGTCTCCTCTGCTTCTTGATGTTTGTGTCACACTTGAGAAAAAGTAAATCTCAAGAAAAGAGGAAGAGGGTCAGAGTGACGAAGCTGCAGATGGGCATGAATAAACTGCCGCCACCACCACCAGCTATTATTCTAGCAGTCAGGGCACTCACTCAGGGCTCTAATGTGCAGACAGGCACCTGAAAGAACAACACCATAATCCCATGTTACATGTATTGCGAAGAGCTTCACACTTTTCAGCTTGCCTGTTGACAATACTGTATACTCAGAGCTGGAATTAGAACTCTCATGGTTCACCTGCTAGGGCAATGCCCTGAACCATTAAGTTATCACTAGACACGTTTCACTGTAACCTTGTATTAAATATAACATAAAACAGCAGAAGAGAAAATGTCGAACAGCTAGGTATTCATGTGAATACCAGGAGAAAACCTTGCACAACTCAACCCATCTTGTTACATCATCACTCCAACCACTTTCTCTTAGTCTACTATAGAGCGAAGAAATGCAAAAGCAGGATTATCTGAGTAAAGTCTCCTCTTGACTTGTCTCAGCACACAGCAGTCTTGACACATTTAATAGCCTACTCTTATAAGTCACTGTATCCCATAGCTACAAAGAACTACATATTTCATTAAATCAGAAGTTCGTGTTTTACAATTAAACCATGGAGAATTTCAGAATATGTTGTCCTAAACAGTCTAACTTATGTTGGAAATCTGAAGCTGCAGAAACTGTGGTGGCCAAATTAACACCTTCATAAGAAAAGCTCCAACAACTTCAAGTTAGAAGTTATATCCTATCTACTCAACAGGAAAGGGCTGAGGTTACAAATCATCCCTTAACATCCAAGTTTTGCATCAAACATGGTTGAGAGCCAACAGACAAGCATACAGGTATGGGGTTTTTTCCAAAATATGAACATATATGCAAGACTAAGTTACCCATACAACTTTAGTCCTAACATTTAACTTCTGAAGACAAGATTTGGAAATTTAAAAGAATATTTTTAATACAGTATGACAAACATCTGAAAAGACCTGAATTAGGCTAAGGAAACATTCAAGCATGCATTTAAGGACTTAAAAATAAGACAGGTTATTGACCTACTTGCAGCATGTCATCAACCATAGTCAGAATGTACTGAACCGTCTGTTCCTTGGAGATATGAGTCATCAAGTTTATAAATGTTTTAGCACACTAGAAAAATAAAAGAGACATTAAAATTAGTATTAGCAATTATCTTCGTTCCTTTTGATAATATAAAACAGGACCTCATTAATTCACAGTTAAGTCTTACATAAGTATTGAACATCCCAACATCTTATTCAATTGCAATAAGAGATGAATACATTTGACATTATATTATAAAGAAAATTTTCTGTCACATTGATCGTTACCTTTTATAAATTGTTTTATGGCTTTCAAATGAAATAACAAGTACTCGCTAGTGAAAGTCAGCAAGGTGCTTTGTTGAAAGACTGATTAGAAAAATCTCCATCAGTGTCTTTTTTTATGGCAGCGAGGAGAGGAATCAAGTAAACTGATAAAACAGCAACAAACTTAGACACAGAATAAGAATATACCTGTTCACTTCCTATACCTTGTAGAAAAATCTTTGTTCATATTTGAGCTGTTTTCTGCCTCCTGAACAACTCTACTCTACAATTTCAGGAACAGATATAATAGGCTGGAACAGTCACAACACTGTTTCTTACACTAACTCCTTCCCCTTCACCACATTCAACTAAAACTGAAAGAAAAATGGAACTCTGAACTGCTACACCATAATTATATAGTGGCATATAACATTCACCATATATGCTTTTGTCACTATGCAAATTATGGTCCCTTACATAGCAGTCTCACAATATAATTTGGGGAAACAAAAAAACAACAGAACAGCCTAAAATTAAAGTAGAAAAAAGGGCTGGAAAGTTTTGTGCCTTGAGTGCATCTCCTACTCTTCCCCCCGCCTCACCCAATCCTCTTGATGTCTGACATTGTCTGCTAGAACCTCAGGCTTCAAGGCTGAGATTCTACTGCTTGAAATATCATTCAAGTGTCTTTGGGCATCTTGGCTAGACTCCATGAGCCAAATGGCATGGGTCACTGTCCTGGTTCCGGCTGGGACAGAGTTAACTTTCTTCCCAGTAGCTGGAGGGGGTGCTGTGTTTTGCGTTTGGTATGAGAGGAGCGTTGATGGCCCACTGATGCTTTGGTTGTTGCTGGGTGGTGCTTGCACCGGGGACTTTTCGGCCTCCCATGCTCTGCCAAGTGCAGGGGAAGCTGGTGGGGGAGAGCATAGCCGGGGCAGTTGACCCAGCTGGCCAATAGGGTATTCTATACCATGTGGCGTCATGCTCAGTATAAAAGCCAGGGGTGTGGGGGGGGTGTCTCTCGCTGTTCACGACACACAGTCAGCGGGTCAGCAGTTGCATTGTGCATCGCCTGGTTTGTATATCCTGTTATCGTTGTTGTTATTACTGTTCTACTCTGTTATATTTCCATTATTAAACTGTTTTTATCTCAACCCATGAGTTTTTCTACTTGTGCCCTCCCAGTTCTCTTCCCCATCCTACCGGAGGGGGTGGGGGGTAAGCAAGCAGCTGCGTGGTGTTTAGTTGCTGGCTGGGGTTAAACCACGACAGTCACCTATCAATCTTATATCAGCTCTGTCCAACACAGATGTCTCATATCTTACAGTGCCTAAAATGACACCTGTGTTTAAATAACTGAATCCACCTTAATCAGTGGGCTCTATTGCTGGAACTACATTATAATTGCTCAGCTAGCTAAGCAGAAATCTCACTGGCAGTAGCTCTCATCAATAAACTCTAAGGAAAAAAGCTCAAAAAAAAAAAAGTGACTCAAGTACAAGTGTGCATGATTAAGTAAACAGGATGAGGAAAGACTTGAGCTAGCTTGTCCCACAACAGAGTCAAAGTCAGATGACATTTAATAATTATTTAATAGGTTTTTAAAAGAATGTCCAACTTATATCTAGAAAAAAAAAGAATCATAATAGCAAGTTTTATACTTCTTCCATAACACCTTAACTGTATACAGCCAACAATAAAATAAGAGTTGGTACGAAAATTTCCTTCAATCCTCCTCCCCAAAAGTTTGATTATTAAAAGAAAGGAAAGTTACTTGATTGCCTTCTGTTTGCAACAACTCCTGTTTTTCTTCGGGATTTCTTTTCTGTTCGAATCTTTGAATAAATTCACAGTCTTCGCCTGAAATCATCTGCCCTCTGAAAAGCAAAATATGAAACCATAAGCAAAACAAACAGTTTACGTGGCAAGTCTTGGGTAGTAGGGGGCTGCAGGGGCAGCTTCTATGAGAAGTCAGCAGAAGCAGCCCCCATGATGGACAGAGCCAGTTCCAGCCTGCTCTAGGACAGACCTGCCACTGGCCAAAGCTGAGCTACTCAAGGACAGTAGTAGCACCTCTGTGATAACATATTTAAGAAGGGGAAAAAGTTGCTGTGCAACAGCAATTGCAGCTGGAGAGACAATTGAGAATATAAGAGAGAGAAACAACTCTGCAGGCACCAAGGTCAGCGAAGAAGGAGGGGGAGGAGGTGCTCCAGGCACCGGTGCAGATTCCCCTGCAGCCCATGGTAAAGACCATGGTGAGGTTTCCCTGCAGCCCATGCAGGTCTCCGGTGGAGCAGATATCCACCTGCAGCCCGTGGAGGACCCCACGCCAGAGCAGGTGGATGCCCAAAGGAGGCTGTGACCCCGTGGGAAGCCCACGCTGGAGCAGGTTTGCTGGCAGGACTTGTGACCCCGTGGGGGACCCACGCTGAAGCAGTCTGTTCCTGAAGAACTGCACCCCGTGGAAAAGACCCACGCTGAAGCAGTTCACGAAGGACTGTAACCTGAGGGCGGGACCCTGTGCTGGAGCAGGGGAAGAGCATGAAAAGGAAGGAGTAGCAGAAATGAAGCGTTATGAACTGACCGCAACTCCCATTCCCGTCCCCCTGCACCACTCAGGGCAAGGAGATAGAGAAGTCGGGAGTGAAGCTGAGCCTGGGAAGAAGGGAGGGGTGGGGGGAAAGTGTTTTTTAGATTTGTTCTTATTTCTCATTATCCTACTCTGTTTAACTGGCAATAAATTAATTTAATTTCCCCAAGTAGAGTCTGTTTTGCCCATGATGGTAATCGGTGGGTGATTTCCCTGTCCTCATCTCGACTCAAGAACTTTTTGTTGTATTTCTTCCCCTGTCCTTTTGATGGAGGAGGAGTAATAGAGCAGCCTGGTGGGCACCGGGCAGCCAGCCAAGGTCAAGTCACCAAACAAACCTTATTTTCTTCAACTTGATATCTCAACAGTATCGCTTACCAATCCTATATCTCACAGTAGAATGTAAAGAGCTCCTTTCTGCAAAAGGTCTCATGTACAAAGAATTTAAAACTAATAACAGAATACTCTCTCTAAAGCCTTCCCTATGCATCGCCTCTGCTCAACAGCATTCTCTAAATAATTCTTAAACTTCCAGAGGCTGAATGTAACAATCAGTGGAAATAGTCGTAAGAAGTGAAATATGCACAGTTAGCACATTATGCCAAAATTATAATACATAACATGAATAATAGTCTAATCCAACTTGAAATAAGTACTGAAAAATAAAATGAATTGTTATTTTAAGTTTGCTATAAGCACTGAAGAGAATTTTAAGGAGTACAGAGAACTTGGTTCTTAATGTATTTTTAGCTTTCACTAATTACAACATTTCAGCTTTTCCTGGTAGTTCAAAAACTGATTTGCAAGGGGCCTTGATATAGTAAACTGCTGTGGACACCTATAAGTTAACAGATGTCTACTTGGTCTTCTCTTTAAATTAATATTCAAGGGGTTACTGCCATCATCAGTGCTATTTCAGAAAGCTGTTGACTCAGCTGAACAGCTGGCACAATATTGTTGGTTTTTTATTATAATACAAAGCTTACCATTAAAACAAATAACAAACTTGTCAAAATAGTACAGTCAGGTACTCTTCTGGTAAGAAAACTAATTTTAAATCAAGTAGTTCTGAAAATATCCAAGACTTTAATAGGTGACTACCTTTACTAGTTAATACCAGGAGTGCTTCAGGAAAGAAGAAAATTGTGCATATCATCATCACTATAAAAGTCATAGGGGATGAAAGTATTAGACACTGCTCTGTTTCAGTTATTCCCAAGACTCATCTCCTCTTACATTTCCAGTGAGTCAAATGCCTCTTCCACTTCGCAAAGCTATGTAGCACAGATTCTTTTAACCCATCTTTTCCACATTCCAGGTCAGTTTCCAGACATTCCATGACTAGAGGTTCCATTAAAATCCTTGTAAACTTACAGGAAATGTTTGCCTTTTTTTTTTTTTTTTTTTTTTTAATTGGCTCACCTGGATTCTTGAAACACAGAAACATAAATAAGACTTACAATGTGTTCTTTTCTTTCCTCTTACTTAAACGGTTATGTCTTGAGGATAGCCTCATTACAGAGCCATCTTTTACCTATTTACTTTTCAAGAAAAGAACATAAGTAGTCCAGTACCATGTGCACCATTCCTGTATTCTAGCTTTTTAAGAAATATCCTCATATGCACTGAGGAAAGGCAATGAAGACTTACTAGACGGAAGATTCATAAAGCCAGTGGTAGTCCTCAACTAGTTTCTACTAAAACTTAACTAATTATAGACAAAAAAGTAATTAGCCAATGGTGACCATGCTGCTACCACATGCCTTTTAGATTGACTTGTGTTCTTTCTTGCCTATTAAGGATGGATTTCAGTAGTTGTTGAAAGATGAGGACAATTGATTCATCAAAAATACTGGACTTAGCGACCCATAACTAGAAGCCTCTCATGTTTCAATCAATGCTGGCCAAGACAGGGACTCCTGGATGACATTGATATAAAGTAACCAGATGAGATACTTGTTTATGAGAGTATTGCCATCTAGGAAGCACTTCAAAGCCCTCATAAGGTGAACACTTAATTTTTAGCTTTAATGCTTGAAAAAGCCTCAGCCCAGGAAGAAAGATGCTTCTGTATAGCCATTAGACTATGAGAGGAGGTCTGCCAACTGTCAAGGAAAAAAGCTTTCAACCTTTTGCTTTCATCCTACATTAGACCACAGGAAAAAAAGAAAAAAAAAAAAAGGTGTGGGGATTGATGTTGCTTTGAGAGGAAAAGAAGTTAGGGTTTACTCTTTATTGCTTTGTAAGTGTGTGCTGGTTTTGGCTGGGATAGAGTTAATTTTCTTCATAGTAGCTAGTATGGGGCTATGTTTTGGATTTGTGCT